TCTATTGCGTACTGATACTTCCGAGGAAATGGATCGCTATCTCACGTTCAAGTAACTATTAACAGCATGTTTTAATCCTATTAAATCTGGCGACATTATCATTTATGACTACCCATAAGGCTTCTAAATTTATCATGTAAATGATAATTTTGCATTTTTTAACAAACAGATCCTCAGAGTTTCAAAACTATATCATGAATGAGTAATGCTACCCTTACTCACTCCCTTTACTCACTTCTCTTACTCACTTTTGTAAATATACAGCATAATACGGGTATTATACAGCATAGTATGAATACCATATGTCATTTTAACAAAAGTGAGTAAGAGAAGTGAGTAAAAGGAGTGAGTAAAGATAGCATTTTTCATTATGAATACCTGTTTACTCTAATTATATTATATTATATTATCGTCGGTAACAGTGTAATTTTAGTCTTAAAGAAAGTAGTGTAAAATAGTAACTTTGATCTTATAAGAAATTGTTTTGCAAACCTAACAACAATGACAGTGTTAGAGTAAAGGGGTATTTATGATACCTTTATATATTTATGTAAATTAGTCAATCATTAATAGTGAATATTGTTGTGATAATTGCAACTAATCAAGTATTAGTCTTTAGGGAGGTAAACTATCAAGTATCAAATGCTAATATTCATAAAAGAAGTAAACACTATTTTCATGATATCAATTTCTTGTATTATAAGTTTTATATATACAATTTCGAAATCTTTACTCTATTACAATCTAATGGTTTAATATTGGTGATTTGAATTACCTATTAGATATTATCATCTTAATATTTCATTCTATATGTATTTCAACTTCCCATTACAATCCACCCTCAAATTTTTTTTTTTTTTTTCATCATTCATTTGCATCGTTCTCTTCTCAAATTTCAGAAAACAATGTTGCCCTACTTGAATCTGCAAGATGCAGAGGCTGGTTTAGGCAGAGAGCTTAGTTTTGCAGAGAAAATATGGTTTAACTATTCAGCCAACAAACATGACTTTGTTCTTCACTCTCACAACATCATTTTCTTGTGCTTCTTTTACTCCTTAGTTCCTCTACCATACATGTTAGTGGAGCTTAGTCGTTCCAAGAAAATAATGAAGTATAAAGTTCAACCCAAAGTCCAGAGGTCATTCTGGGATATGTTCAAGTGCTACAAAGATGTCATGAAATCTTTCCTGATTGTTGTCGGTCCTCTGCAAATACTCTCTTATCCTACTATAAATGTACGTTGGATTTTATTTTAATGATTTGAAATATAATACGATCAAGCAACAATATTTTTTCATTGAACTAACTTGATATTGAATTGTCCATAATTAATAGTTTATATGAATTTGGGGATTTGTTGGAATTTCTTTTTTGCGGCAGTTGATCGGAATTCGGACTGGTTTGCCATTACCTTCTTTGTGGGAATTGTTGCTGCAATTGGGGGTTTACTTTTTAGTAGAAGATTACGTGGGCTATTGGGTTCATCGATGGTTGCATACAAAATGGGGGTACGAGAACATCCACCATGTACACCATGAATATAGAGCTCCAATAGGATTCTCAGCACCGTATGCTCATTGGTCAGAGATTTTGATCCTGGGCTTTCCAGCATTTCTTGGTCCTGCATTAATTCCTGGCCACATCATCACATACTGGTTATGGTTCATTTTGAGGCAAATGGAAGCCATTGATACTCATAGCGGGTACTATACATCATCACTATTCTTCCTAGCATTAATAATCCCTCTTAATCAAGAGTTCAAGCAACCAAAAGCTGAAAATGGGTTTGTATATGTTGAAATGCAGATACGAATTCCCTTGGACAAAATATATTCCCTTCTATGCAGGAGCCAAGTTCCATGATTATCATCACTATGTGGGACGTCAAAGTCACAGCAACTTTTCATCTGTATTCACGTACGGTGATTACCTTTATGGAACAGATAAGGTTAGTTTCAAATTAACATGCAGAAATTTTTACACATATTCTTGAATTTCCAACTTGATTTCTTTTATACTTTTTTTTTTTTTTTTTTAATGACAATTAGGGTTACCGGTGTTATATGGTTCTCGCCAATAAGGTACTTCTGAACTCAGTGGTATATAACTTTAAATTCTATATATTTTTCAAGTAGTTTTATGTTGAATATCAATTGGAAGTTGAAAAAATATGAATTATACTGTTACATTCTAACCTTTTCTTGTTGATATTGCCATTGGAAGGGCGATTAGAAGTTAGAAGCGACAACATCAGAACGGAGACAGATATTACTTTCTTGCAGAAAATCTCAGTGTCAAAGTTCTCAGTAATTTGTTTTTATATAATATCCTTGTTAGATAGAGTGGAGATCCTTTTCAGCGTTCTGAAAGCTGTGTATTGGATAAATGCTAGAATTACGTATGTATTACTTGCAGAAAATCTCAGGTGGTGTTTTACTTCGTAAAATATGGGAATGGGAAAAAGGATTGTATGGAGATGGAAATTGGAATATGTAAAGGAATAAAATATGATTATATTACTTGTTTCTATCAATGAATAGTGATAGAATGGAGTGATTTATGTTAAATTAATTTATATAAATTTCATATTTTTGTAAAAATGTATATGTATAATCATTCAAAGTTTAAGGATAATTTTATTTCATAAATATAAATATTGTTTTTTATTTATTTATTTTTGAAAATTTCAAAACTGGTCAATGCTTGTCAAAGTTTTTGGATGGCAACGTTCCTTCACGTTTCCAACATCCTTGTCTATCGATCTTTCGATTTGAGCGAAAACTGGTTGTTGAATACCGCTGGTCGTTGGCGGCCTTTTTTCACCCAAACTGCGAGATCAACGGACGGAAAACCTTCATATGCCGGCGGTGACACCGAAAACATGAAGGAACATTGCCGTCTAACAACTTTCACGGGCGTTGATCGATTCTAAAATTTTGAAATCATTTTATAAAAAATAATTATTAAATTATAAAATATTTAATTAAAATACTAAATGGTATAATGGGAATATTTGTTTGAAATAGGGGCAACGATGGAATTTAAATCCATTCCTTGCCTTTGGAATACCCATTCCTCCTAAATTTGGGAATAATAGGCTTCCCCAAAAATTTGCCAAAATAAACGAGGGAATGGGCATTCCCTTACCCATTCCCTTGGAAAACTGTGTTTACTCCTTGAAAAACTTAAGTAAACACGCCATAGTCTGAAAGTTGTAGTTTGAATCAGTGTTGCTTATACTTGATCATCATGTTTCGACCATACATTTAAATTATTGTCTATAGATAATCTGGATTCAGTAATATATCGTGGGCTAGACAGACGATATATATTTGGATGGATAAAGTTATTTTCTTGAAAAAAGAGACTGGCATTTTTTTTTTGTTATTTTCATGATTTTTGTTATTCGTATAACATGACTTTAGGAATTATCTCATTCCAAAAGCGACAAAATTGGAAATTCAGAAAAACAGTGCCAAGCCCGTCTAGCTCAGCTGGTAGAGCGCAAGGCTCTTAACCTTGTGGTCGTGGGTTCGAGCCCCACGGTGGGCGTTTCTTTTTGCATCTTACCAAACTAATTGAGAATTACCTAACCATATTGATTACAAACTATAGCACAGAGGATTTGAACAAAATTAATAAATACTAACTCAAACCAAAGTTTCTAGTTCCGTATGATGCTTTCTAGTCTCCAAAATTTCAGTACAATCAACCTCCAAAACCCATATCATATTTCTGCAGTTCTGTCCACACAAAGTGTTTAACGTTCTACTTTTCAGTCAGGTGTAGGTCTGTTCTCTGCAACCCGTGATAAATATGTAACTGAACCGTCTAACCTCAAAAGGATTTAGTGCTCAAAACTTTTGGTGTATCTGAATCAATCTCTGTCAAATCAGAAGCTACTTCATGCCAGGGCTTGATTTAGTGAACTGAATTTCCCTTCTGATCAGTCAAGCGAGGGCGCCGTCCACAACTTAACTTTCTTGTCACCGCTAGATGTTGCTAAGATCATGCCTTGTCCATTTCCTGTAAATATGATAAGTTCAAGTGATTAAAAATTCACATAGACATCTAATTCACAAAACATAAGATGAACATCTGAAGAAGAAATCAGCAGAAAATTCAAGCAAGGTAAAAAAGCACATCAATAACTGCAAGAGTTTAATCATAAAATATTGGTCAGGATTGGCTATCAACCATGCTCATATATCTACGCTTCAAAATATTTTGAATCCCCAAAGTTTTAAATCTGTTGGAGCTACAAGAATGACATATTTATATAAAAACAAAAAAAAAAAATTATAAAAATATCATTGGTGACATGCCTCGAGACCTGGATTCCTTTGTCAACTTTCCCACAGGATTCCAAGAATCTGAAATAAATTCTGTGTTATGGATTTTCTTAGTAGGTATTCTATGATGCTCTCTTTATGCTACAGTTATTNTCAATGTCAATATCTATATCTCTACTTTATTATTATTATCATACAAAATGGACAATACATTCTTTTTTACTTTCTCTTTAACAAGTTTTAGTGAACCAAGTTAGGTGACGTAGATCTGACCTGAATTTTTTCAGGTCTTTGACACAAATTAATAAAATTGTATCAATTTATATCGATATTTTCAAGGATACGAATATATACATATCATAAGATACACATCACGTATATAAAGTACAAATAATAATGATATCGTGGGCTAGACTGACGATATATATTTGGATGGTTAAAATTATTTCCTTGTAAAAATGAGATTGGCATTTTTTTGTTATTTTTGTTATCGTATAACATGAGTTTAGGAATTATCTCATTCCAAAAGCGACAAAATGGGAAATTTAGAAAAACAGTGCCACGCCCGTCTAGCTCAGTCGGTAGAGCGCAAGGCTCTTAACCTTGTGGTCCTGGGTTCGAGCCCCACGGTGGGCGTTTCTTTTTGCATCTTACCAAACTAATTGAGAATTACCTAACCATATTGATTACAAACTATAGCACAGAGGATTTGAACAAAATTAATAAATACTAACTCAAACCAAAGTTTCTAGTTCCGTATGATGCTTTCTAGTCTCCAAAATTTCAGTACAATCAACCTCCAAAACCCATATCATATTTCTGCAGTTCTGTCCACACAAAGTGTTTAACGTTCTACTTTTCAGTCAGGTGTAGGTCTGTTCTCTGCAACCCGTGATAAATATGTAACTGAACCGTCTAACCTCAAAAGGATTTAGTGCTCAAAACTTTTGGTGTATCTGAATCAATCTCTGTCAAATCAGAAGCTACTTCATGCCAGGGCTTGATTTAGTGAACTGAATTTCCCTTCTGATCAGTCAAGCGAGGGCGCCGTCCACAACTTAACTTTCTTGTCACCGCTAGATGTTGCTAAGATCATGCCTTGTCCATTTCCTGTAAATATGATAAGTTCAAGTGATTAAAAATTCACATAGACATCTAATTCACAAAACATAAGATGAACATCTGAAGAAGAAATCAGCAGAAAATTCAAGCAAGGTAAAAAAGCACATCAATAACTGCAAGAGTTTAATCATAAAATATTGGTCAGGATTGGCTATCAACCATGCTCATATATCTACGCTTCAAAATATTTTGAATCCCCAAAGTTTTACATCTGTTGGAGCTACAAGAATGACATATTTATATAAAAACAAAAAAAAAAAATTATAAAAATATCATTGGTGACATGCCTCGAGACCTGGACTCCTTTATCAACTTTCCCACAGGATTCCAAGAATCTGAAATAAATTCTGTGTTATGGATTTTCTTAGTAGGTATTCTATGATGCTCTCTTTATGCTACAGTTGTTCCAGTGCAGTGGTGAAGGCATCTTCGCAGATGGACAAGAATCTCAAAATAAATAAAAAAAGAGGGGACGGTTTTCCAGAAGAGACATTTATATAATTTAGGTAGTAGTAGAGATATTTGTATGAACTAGAAGACATCTGTGTATGTGCATCTCTAAGTTTTCTAGTTGAGAACATCAACAACTTAGGTACCAAAGAACAGAAGGGACATTAGTCATAAAGGAAGGTGATTTACCCATTGGAATTGTCTTTGGTGCCCAGGCAATGGATGTGATATCACCTGCAAGATAAGACTACTATAAATACAAAGAAAAGAGAAAAAGAGTAGTAAAAGAAGGTGGCATATTGAGGGGTGTTCAAGATCCAAGATTCATACACCTTCAGCTGTTACCTATCAATAAAAGATACACCTGACCTGATGATTGCAGAACAAACTATAAACACTGGACTGAAAAGTAAAGACCAAGCTTGAAAAGGAAGAAAAAAGTCAATCCAAAATTGACCATATAATAAAGTAAAAGCATGGTTCCCCACTCCATCCTAATCACTCTCACAATCGATTTGACTTGGAGTCTGGGTACATACCAAAATTGCAGAATAAATCCTTCTTGATGAAAAATGAAATTTCAATTAACAGAATATTTAAAATAAAGCAGGAAAACTTAAGCCACAGACACACCTTCATGGGCTTTGTCAGCCATGTCTAAAACCTTTCCAGTTTCAACACTTAACCACTGCAATGTTGAGCGATGAGTAGCTGCCAATATCCTTCCATCAGGAGACAGACTAAGACGATCATAGTGCAAGGCAGCACCACTTGAATCACGAAGTGGAATTGGAAACACCTTCAAAGTCTTAGGATCCTCATCAAGATGATATCGAACTTCAGAAAACAGAAGCCAAAGATCAGGATAGACAAAATTAATGTACTTACGAAAATAAGAATTTCATCTGAATAACATTATTCAATTACAATATTCAACTAGCAGAAAATGTAAATTAGATCTGGTGAACATTGATTAAGGATGCACATGCTTTTAAAAGAATCTGTGTTTGTGCCAATAAGAGGCAGATGTGTATATGGGTGGCTGAGGCTAGAGGAAACAAGAGATTATTAGTTCTGATTCATGAAAAAACTAGACAAAGTACAATAAATATGATATTATACAAACCATTGATGTTCCAAATTCTAATTGAATCATCCTTGGAAGCTGTGATGATTTGCTCTGAGTTAGGTGCAAAGCATAACCACGTTACTGCACTCTGCTTGTCACAAAACAATTTAAAAAATTAGGCCACCAAGCTTTTATCGCAACATAGTCCATTAAAAATAAATGGAACAAGAACTTGAGGATGGAAGAAGTTCAACATATTATCAGGGCAAATACATGCATTTTGCACCCATAGCAGGAAGTGCCACAAACAGCTACAGGCATAATCTGCTTCTTCTTAATCTTTATGCATCTTACAGAAGTATGGTTCTCAAGAGAAATTTTGTAATTTTCTTTTTTAATAAAAGTTTCCATTCATTGATTAGATTTTCTGAAATTGAACATGCGAAATATTATCCTAAAGTCAATTAAGATAAAATCCTATTCATGATTTGAAATTCCAGGGAAATAAAACAGAAGAAAGAAAAGAAAAGAAGAAGAGCATCATGAAGTTATGGTTGACATCAAGATATATAAATGTTGATCAAATCATATAACCTTATGCCCTTTAAGCTGCATAGCTTTTGAAACCTCCTTGACTGAACCATCCTTCGAGTACACAATTTCCCACACCTACATAAGAAAAAAGAAATCAATTAGCAATCCAATTCAAACAATCAAATGCTCATTATAGCATGATCTTGACAAGAACTTCATAAGGGGACTCATAAATGATCAGGAAATATCCCATGAGGTGTATATGGTCATAGGCATTAATGGCAACAGCAGCAATACTCACCTTCACGTCAGCAGTGAAAGCAGCAGCAGCAAGAAAACGCCCATTTGGTGATATAGCAGCCATGTGGTTTTTCAATTGATTTGAATCAACATGGCCCAAAATTTTTCCAGTTTTTCCATGCCAAATTATGATATCAGTTCCTGGAAAGCAATAAATGATTAAAAAGAATCATTCTTCCACAAAACCAAGGAGTACATGAATTTAAATAGGCCAGGTTTAATAAAAGGAGTTAAGATAAGCATTAAGTCATAGCATGTAGGACAAATGAACATCATATACCTTCAGAACAAGAGGCAATAATTGTACTACCATCACCACTGCCGTAACTAGCAGTAGCTCGATAAAGAGTTAGGATAGCTCTTTTATCATGGATTTTGTGATGTTCCCATTTGATTTCTGGAAGGGGAAGCTTGGCTTGCTGCTTATTTTCATTAACAGATGTAGTTTTCTCCTCTCCATACATGTACAATGAAGAGCCAGAGAGATTATGAGTTGCAACAACAATAGAAGATGCATCATCAGTAAATGTGACAGCTGTTGGAGGACCTCCAGGTGGCAAATTAATCCTCAGAAACCTGCAGAAGCAAGAAAGAACTCAAATTCATAAAGCAAGGACAAAATCAACTGCATGAACGATTAAATTTGAGGCAATATCCAGAAAAATTAAATGATACTTCGGATTCATACTTGAAACTTTTACTTAAAGCATCATCCAACTTAAATACTCTGACAACTCCATCAGCACAAGCTGTTCATAAAACAAGCACGCATAAATAAATATGAAGAAAAACTATATAATGCACCAAATTAGCTACAACAGACAAAAGTAAGTGAAGATAACCGAATATAACAAATGAAACTGCCTACAATTACTTTCCGATTAAAAGAGTTCTGATAAACAAGCGATTGCAGAACAAAGGCGCAATGCAAAGTCTTTAATTTTAATATTCAATCTGGAAAATTAGTATCACATACATACTCCAGTTAAAATCTGTGATGATCAATTATAATACAGACCAAAATAACTAATGGATTACCTGTTGCCAAATTCCGCCCATCGAAGGAGAAACATAGCCCCGTGACAGAATCACCATGACCTTTCAGAGTATTAACATCCAATGGATGATGTCGCTTATTTTGATCCTACAATAAATATTTATAATGTCACTAGTAAAATTATAATCTAAATATAAAAAGCCCTAATTTTTTAATTTTTTTGAATACTTCGAAAAATTATTAATAATTGAGACCTAATAGATTACCTTATCGGAGGCGTGAGTGTGAGGTTTGGAGTGAGATTTTTTGGAGATAGGCTGAGAAGGCTTTGAAGGCTTTTTATGATCCGGTTGGAGCTCCGCTTTGGCGATGGATTGGACTTCGGATCTTCTCTTGCCAAAGTAACTTTTGAAGAAGAAGAGAGCGATCAGAGCTCCGAGTACAACCGAAAGCACCGTAATTGAAAGAACGGGATCCATTTGCAAACGGAGAGGATTGCTTTGGTACTGTTGACTAGAGACTAGAGAATGATGATGATGGGAAAATGGCGGGGGTTTGTCACCGCATAATTATCTGGAAAGAGCAGAAGGGAATAATAAGATGTACACTAGGACTATTTTCGTTTCAAAATTTATTATAAATGTAATTAACAGATATTTCTTTTTGAAGTTATTAGATATTTTTGTTTTATTTAAATATTAGAAATAATAATAATTCGGAATTAAGGTTCATTAAACAAATAAATGAGTTTTCTATTTCTTATGAAAGTAAATATATAATCCATTCCATTAATAGCTGTTAAATAATCATAATGTGATTTATTAAGCTTCCTCACTGTAAATCGAATAGCTAACTAAAGTTTATGATCATCATAATAAAATACAACAAAACTGCGGACATCGAAAAATCTGTACCGAAAATGTGTACCGGTCTACGTGTATCAAACTTTTTTTTAGTAAACGACTGTCCATCAAATTTGGACGATCATTCACTCACATGGACTCCCATCCATATTACATGGACGAGGGTCCATATACCAGGACGGGCGTCCCCATTTAAAGGACGCCCGTCCATAAATAAAACACAAAAAAAAATTTGTAAAACATTATGGAAGGCCGTTCATAGGTTGTGGACGACCGTCCGTAAGGAATTGACGCCCGTTCGAACTTAATTTGTTTTAAAAAATAAAATAAAAAAATTGGATGCCCATCCACAATTAAGTTTGGACGGGCGTTCGTAACTAATAGACGCCCTACCATTATGTATGGACAACAGTCCACACTTAAGGGACAGCTGTCCCTTATGTAAACAGCAAATGAACGGAACTACTGATTGCATCGTCCACGCCCTCCATTTCGTCGTCATACTCCAATCTCTTCAGCCACGCTTCACTCAGTTCAACGCCCTCCATTTCATCATCATACTCCACTCTAAAAACTCCTTCTTCATCTTTCCCAAGTTTCCCAGCCAGCTGATGAAACTCTTCCAAAACAACCTTCAACTCGTCCTTGAGTTTCTCAACCATGGCATCGAACTCTTCGTTACCCTTATAAAGAAGCAGCTTCTGGTTGTAGTAAAAAGCTAGATATGGAAGATCGAAGGTGATCAATTGGCATTCTCTTCTTCCTATTATCTTGCCGGGCTTGACGTGGGTTTTTCCGGTGACTTTCACCTTCACCGTGTCTTGTGATTTCTTCTCCACTTCTTGGGTTGCCATTGTGACTGAGTTAAGGAGTAGAATAAAAAATAGAATCAAGTAAGCTATCCAGATAAGAAGTTTGGGCGGCTGGTGTTGGTAATTGTCTCTTGTCTCTGTGTACTTTATGCTCTCTGCTTTCTTTCTTCTATTTGCCAACAACTTTTGCATAAAAAAGTAAAGCAGTCGACTAGTCGTTTCCATGGAAGTTATTCTTACATCATACAAACGCTTAAGAGAGTTAAAAGATAAGATTGATTATGGTTACCATTTGAAAATTCCATGCATGGCAATACGCATTCATGCGCATTTATTTGGCTCTTTGCATATACCAATACTGTATATTTATTTCAGCAAAGATCTCGGTAGAATATTCAATTTCAGCTCGTGTGGGATACAGAGAGTGTTTGAAACATGAATCATGATGAGACGTTACAGATTATGAAACTGGAAAGTCCTAAGTGAGCTTACACTTTATATATGTTAGGGCCAAAAATCGTCCTCGGCCCAAATAGGGAAACAAGATCACTGGTGAAGAATGACCAGGCCCAATCTTGCAGAGGCCCAATTCGGATTAGCCCTATTTGATACGAAGTATAACCGGCCCGAACTACATGGGCACGAGCCTTTTAAGCCCTGTCCAATATCTAGGCCTATGGGTGAGCCCAGAGCCCATAGCCCCTTCAACATTTTCCCATTCTTGATCAATCCCCTATTCAAGGTCGTCTTCCTCTTCTGGGACTTTCCCACTTGAGGGGCATTCTCCTAAAGGAATTAACTTCCTATCTAGACACTGATAAAGAAAGCTGATTACGGCCCTGATTCTTCTAGGGTTGGCATCAGAGGTCACACTAGGACTCTGCTCCCACCAGGATTGGAAGACCAGACGAACATATAAGCAGAGGCCAGCCCTCTCACAAGGGACATCGACATTACACCTTCACACCCAAGGCTCTTACTTGAGAGTCTCGCTTATCCGCGTAGTCACAGTCCCCGACTAGACTTCCGGTAATTCTCATTCCCTATCCCTCATATATTAGCCTTTCAGCCTTGTTGACTTGAGCGTCGGAGTGCCTACGGCAAACCACACCCTGGTGTTTCCCGTTCGCTCACGCGTGTGTTCTCTACGTGTGCAGGTACAGCAGATCGCTAGTGGCCTCAACCTCACGGGATCAGACACCCCTTTCCGTACAGGTAGTTTTTACGTACAGTTTGGCGCCCACCGTGGGGCCTCTAGCAATCATTCGGCGTGACGAACTTGCTACGTGGAGGAATATTCCATGGCTGACAATCCGACGACGTACTCAGGCCCGAGCCAGACTGGAGGCTTTGACCACTCTCATGCAACAAAACTTGGACAAGGTGGCCGCACTGGAAGCCGAAAACACATCCATCAGGGTCGAGAACCAGTCGCTAAAAGAGAAAGTAAGTCGATTCTATGAACTCGAGTTTGCCTGACCAAGCACCCCCCAATCGGTTCCGCACCATTATCCCATCCATGCAACCCCTCTCCACACCAGAGCACAACCCTGGATTCTGGTAAAGGGCCGCGTCAACTTAACGCACTGGCGCTCGACTACTCCGTTCTGACTAACGGAGATAAAGATACAACAGGGCGCGGTCCAGTCGACCCATCCCAGCCTCATGATCAAAACGATCCAGCAATAGAGAACCCGAAGGATCAACCCATCCTCACCATACCACTTCACCTCCAGTCAAACCCAAACACAAACCCCCTCCTGCCTGGCCACCCTCGCGGGGTGAACGGCCAAAACCAAACCAACTCCAGCTTTGAGCCTGTCCATCCCGAAAGACCGAAGACTAAAAGACAACTCTCCTGACCGTTATGTAGGAAGAACAACAGAACAGTGACAATGGGAGTCATCCAACCAGAAGGGATGAACGAAGACACATGGTACCAAGGAGCGCACGACGGACTGATCTATCAGTCTACCCCCGAGGGATGACCCCACGAGACGTACCAGACCGGTAAGATGGGATGACCCAATAGTATCCCCTTCCCCTGTGGAACAGTTACTGCAAGAGATGGCCGACGTTGAGGCAGTAATGAGGCGTATACTAGAATGCTAATCCACAACAAGAAGAGCAGACCGAATTGTTACGTCGATTCACCCTTTTGCGGACGAGATCGCCCTGGCTGACATGCCCCAGAAATTCACTATCCCCAACATGAAACCATATGACGGTACCACGGACCCGGACGACCAATAGCCTCGTACAACAGTGGATGTTCATGTTTCCATACCCCGAACGCTTAGAGAAGCCTGCATGTGCAAAAGTTCGGTTCTAGTTTGTCCGGCCGCGCGTCCAATGGTACACGAACTCCCGAACGGATCCATCGATTCATTCGCTCAGCTTACTGACACTTGGGAACAGTTCGCCAGCACAAGAAGCTAGAGAAGTTGTTCGGCCGACTTGTACCAAGTATACCAATGAAGGGGGGAAACCATTGAGAGAGTATGTTAGCAGATTCAACAAAAGAGAGATCTCTATTCCTCCTGTAACCCCGAGACTGCTGTGGCCGCTTTCAGAAAAGGCCTCCTCCAGATGGAGAACTATACAAAGAGCTTACAAAGCTGGGCTGCACCCATGGAAGACGCTCTGGCCCGAGCCGTTATCCAGTAAGGTGGGGGAAGATGAGATGAACTGAGTCCCATCAGATACGAATCAAGGAGAACGACAGAGAAGCCAGAGCTAGACCGGTAGAACACCGCTACCAACCCCCGCACGGAATATGGGCAGAGCCAGGAGACCATATGACCCCGACCTTGAGAAGTGATATCAGGCATTTGGGATCGAACCAGTTCAAAATACAGAATATAGTCTCAGCATCGAACCAACAGGTCGTAGCGATAATGAAAGGAATGGGATCCGCCGTCAGTGGCCTGGTAAGCTCAATCGAGGTAAGGGAGACACACAACCAAGTGGTGCGAGTTCCACAACGATCATGGGCACAACACCGCAGATTGCATCGCCTTGCGGCTCGAGGTTGCCGCACTTCGAGAGAGAGGACATCTCCCTGATCTACTCACTGACAAGGGGAAGAAGAACACCCTAGCAGAAAAGCTCCAAACAACAGTCGCCCCCCGCTAGAACCACACCGAAGGGTTTCTGCTCGTAATCCTCGGAGGATCAGAAATCAGTGGGGTAAGTTACTCATCAGCGAAACGGCATGCTAGAAACTAACCATCATGAAATCCAGTCATCCACCCGGTCTCGAGGTAATACTCCCATTAGGTAATTCAGTTCGAGGATGATGAACGCATCACCCTAGCCGCTCCTCACCACGACGCTTTAGTCCTCTCCCTGCAAATAGCTAACATCTAGTGAAAAGAGTGTGCTAGATGGGGTTCGTCAGCAAATATCCTATTCCTCGAAGCGGTCAAAGCAATGGGACTAGAAGAAGACAAATATCAACAGGCGACTGACCATGCTAGTTGGATTCAGCTCGGAGCAGAAATACACTATCGGGGAGATCATCCTTCCTATCTATGCGGCGGAGTAAACAAACAGATGTCTTCCTGGTGATCGAAGCCCATCCCCTTACAACGTCATTTTAGGCCGCCCCGGGTCCACGACATGCGGGCAGTCCCACATACTTTCCACCAGACAATCAAGTTTCCGACCAAGTGGGAGTACGGAGATCAAGGGTGACCCTAAAGCTTCCAGGGACTGCTACAAAAACGCCTTCAAAGGCACGGGAAACTCTTCATAGCAATTACAGTCTCGTCCGATCTCGAGCAAAGCCCAACCAACCGACCATGGAGGAGTTGGATGAAGTGCAGATACATCCGGATGACTCGGGAGAGAAAGACACACATAGGCTCCCGCCTCGACCCCGAGACAAGAGAGAAGCTGATAGAATTTCTAAAACGGAACGAA